CATGCCACACTGTAGTTTTGTTTTTCTTTCATTCTTGCATGTGTATGCAGTATGACGTGACGTGATGTGATGTGAGTGTGTGTGCGCCCGTGCATGTGAGCATATGTGTATGTGCAGGTGCATTGGGGACCTGAAGTTAATACCAAGTACCTTCCTTGGTCATGCTCAACTCTCTTGTTGAGCCCAAAGCTTACCAATTCTGGCAAATTTAGAGAGCCAGCTTGCTCCGGGGACCAAAGTGTTGTGATTATAGGGGGCCATTCAGCTGCCACATGGCTCCTGGAGGTCTGAACATTGTAGAAGCTATGCCTGGTACTGTGTCTCAGACCCATGTTCTCAGAAAAAAAAGATCCAGGCTCAAAATATGTTAACAAATACCTTGGCAATATAGCTCAGCTCTTCTCTGACTAGATCATAACTAAAACAACCTGATTATTTAACCTACATTGTGCCACATTGGTGGTTACCTGTGTGTTCAGGTACCATGCATCTGTCTCTGTGCGTATTCCCAGAGAATCTCTCCCCTGGCTCTATCCCAGAATCCTTTCTCTTTTCTTGATGTCCCACCTCATTTTCTGCCTAAGCCATCAGCCGTGGGCTTCTTAATCGACAAGTGATGCACCCATACAATTTCACTTTCTAGTCCAATAAAAGGCTCCTTTTCTTTCTAATATAAATTGAATAGTTATAACAATTATGAAAACTATAAAGTATGATATGCATTTGTAATGTCCAATCCATAGTATTTGGCAATTAAGAAAAAATTTCTATTATCCTATCTTCATATATTTCAAGTTTCATACCTAACTCAAATTTTATCCTAACTTGGAGTTAAGAGCGGCCCATGTGGAACATGGCAGGTCATAACTTGGGGCTATTGGTAGGGAGGTAAAATCTAATCGCTTAGAGGGTAGAATCTGCCCAGCTCCAGTGCTGACTAACGCTTATTATAGATATAAAGTTGTGTCTTTTATGTGGGAACTGAATGGTCAAAGGCAGGATAGAAACCTGGATTGAGATGAAATATTTTCTACAACAGGACATAGGTTCTCAAGCTTGTGCAGCAATCTCCCAGGCCTGAGGGTCTTTTCCTTCCTATATAGTCTTCTTTGTATCTTTTTAGGCTGAAGAATTGTTAAAGACATCCCTCCTGCAGTCATTAGTAGCTAGTTGGTAAGGCAACTCTGGTCCCTTTAATCTGTGAAGTCTGGTATGACTTCATGGTTTACATAAGGATGGGGTTTCCTCCTGATTCTGCAGGCCATTGCTTCACTGTGTGCTGTTTACAGTACACAGTCAGCAGTGATTTTTCAGTCCTCTTATGGGCTGACAAACAGATGGCCTGAAGTCTCATGATAGCCATCCAGGAGCTTTCCCCTGGAATTGATAAAGGGAAAGCTGCCCTCTTTTTCCTGCTCTGTGCAAGCTTCCAGGAGCACCTCTCCTGTTTGTCTTTTGTGACCTGTAAGATCTCATAGCCCTGGCAATTTCATTTTTCATTTCTCTGTCCTATTACTTATAAAACTATAAAATTGTGTCAGTGACAACAAAGATCCCTGAGGGAATCCAGACAGCCATGAGAGAAGAAAGGAAAATTCCAGACTTAGATGACCTATACCCTAACCAAAGAAATCCCTGAAAAATTAAGATTGGCAAAATTCTAGAAAATCTGGGAGCTGGAATTTGCCTCAGCCATTTGTATACCAAGGAGAAAAGAGGCTTGATCCCCTGTGAAGAGAATATGACCAAGGAGGCACCAGCATAGTGGTTCTGTGCCTGTGTTGTGCTAACATCAGAGGTCGTTCCAGCAAGGAGGTAGGGCAAAGTCGCAGACTCTAGAGGACCCTTAGGGTTCTGTATCCTAAACAATTGCCCATGAATCCTGATGCAACTGCAATGAGTGAAGAGAAGTGGTGAGAACACAGAAAATCCCTTCCTTAGATACAGAGGCTTCTACACAGTAAACATTCACAGAAAGGTGAGCATATTTGCACTGATGCTAACAGTGAAGGCCAGACACCACGATTTCAGTAGGCCTGTTTACTGGCAGATTCTGAGACTTATTTAAAATATGGCTGTTGGGACTGGAGGGACCGCTTATCACTTAAGAGACCTTGCTTGAGTTCCCAGCATCCTTGTGGCTCACAGAATACTGTAACTTCAGTTGCAAGGAATCCAATGCCCTCTTCCAGCTCTGTGAGTACCTTGCACATACATTGTACACTTACACACATATATACACATAAATAAGAAGAAATCTTGATCTTTGCCTATACCAACCTTAATACACACGAGACAAAACTGACAACGAAAGCAGAGCCTCTGTGTGCTGAGGGCAAGTGTGGGTTGGTACAACTGTCTCGGAATTGTGTTTTCCAGTACTGTCAGTACCAGTGAAATGGTGGCGACAACTGGAATGTCTGCTGGGAAGGGACTGGCCAAATGACTCTGGCCCATCCAAAAACCAGAGATTCCCTGCCCAACCTGAGGAAAGAACAGTCAAGCTATATGAATTTAGGCAGAGTGATCTGCAAGATAACCATCAGTTTATTAAAAAGACGTCAGGTGTGGAGGAATGTTTGCAGTGTGCTACCATTTATGGGAAAGGGTAAAAGAAAGCTGGAGATGGATTAGGCTGAGCCATCAGAGGTTTTGACCTGCTCCCCATGGAAGTGACAATTGAACAGCAGAAATTCATTCAGCCATATAAATGTGCTTGTCAGTGCAGGAGACCCTCCCCCGGAGGAGATGTGCACTCTACACCCACAGCATTGGCTGTGGTTTATGATACTGGGTTTGAATTAACTAGGAGGCAAGAAAGAGATTTTTATTAAACATGAGTATGTTCTATGTATTTTTTAAGATTATTAAAATTATAAATAAATAAATACATGTGGCTAGTGGATACAATTTTCCTCATCTTGCTACATACAGAAACAAAACTATCATGTTTCTATGTCAATAGCAGATATCCTTGTAGTTTCATTTCCCCTACCACATTTTTTTTTTCACAAAATTCCAAGAACTATGTTGAGATACTGTATCTGAGAAGAAAGTTCTAGAGCATATAGAGGGGAACGTGGCATTTTTATTCAAGCATGTAGAGACAGTGTTTCTTCCTGGTGACGGGAGCCTCTGAGTCAACTGTACTAGAAGTTGACCAGCAGGGCCAGGTAAGATGGCTCAGAGGGTAAAAGTTCTTCCTGCCAAACATGATGGCCTGAGTTTGGTCTCTGGAACTCATGTGATAGAAGGAGAGAAGTGATTTCTACATGTTGTCTCTGACTTTCACACATGCACCATGGCACATGCACACACACACACAACCTCTACAACCAACCAACCAACCAACCAACCAACCAACCAACCAATGCAAATTTAAAAATCACAGAACACCGAAGAATGGAAATACCCACCCAGACATGAATATACATGTAAATGCCAAGGACTGAACCCCTGCCCCTATTGCAGAGTGCTAGTTGTAGTGGATACACTGTAAAGCATTTCCTCAACTACTCAGTGTCCAAGTTGACATGCCCAATGGGACAAGGGTTGCATTCAGCTTCATCCTTGGGTAGTATTTATGTGTAAAGTTAGTTAAGTTTTGTGAATTGAAAATTCCAGATGGATCCCATGTCTCTGGAAAGCAAGTGGTCCCCAGCCAGGCACCAGCAAATCAGGGTGTTGTGTTTGTGCCCTGTTAATGAACCTGGGTTTTCAATGACATGATAAGAGCTACCTTATCAAATGGTACTTTTTTTTTTTTGCAATTTTCTGTTTCATGAAAGAATTCAATGGAAGCAATTTGCATATTTTCTTAAGAAGAGTAAACAAGTTTTACATTTCAAAGTTTATATAATTTTTTTCAAGGTATTGGACATCATAGAGTGTTGCCTGACCAAAAATCACTCCTGTGTCAGGCCAGAGGGATGTTCTGAGGAAGCCCTACTGCAGGAGTGTTTACAATAAACACCCATCAGCGCACCTTCTCTTTTTTGAAATTCGGTACCTGGGTGAAGATGCCCTAAAGTTTTGCTGCAGCCTTGGGAACTTCTATTCGTTAAATGCATAAGTATGATTTTCATATCCCAAAAGTCAGGAAGATCAAGAAAACACCTGAGCAATTTGTCTAGTGCCTTGTGTGATCTTTTCCACTCTTTGAAAACACTGCTCAGTTCTCTAAAATGTTGCACGCAGGCCCTCTCCCTGTTGTTCTGTGTAGGTGAAAGCTTGCTCTGACCTGCTTGGCAGTCTCCTGGGACAGTCCCTGCTCTTTAGAACTCTCTGCTCGGCCTCACTTAATTAAAACGATCACTCTTTAAATGAGCCTGAGGTCAAAGAGAACCTCATCTCCCTGTGGCTGCAGGCATCTAGCCTGATTCTTCCTGTCCCACAGAGTGGAATGACCTGAGAGAACAAGGTCACCTCAGCCTGGTGCTTTCCTGCTGAAAAACCCGAGCAGTTCTCTCAGTAAGCACAACTCATTCCCATGAAGTGAACATTCAAATATTGTTTTACCCCTTTTGCCTGTGAGGAGTTGAGACTCAAAGAAGTCTACAAAGCTGCCTGCTTGACTGGAAAAAGAAGCCTAAACCTGGAATGAATGCAGAGGAGGGGTTGAGAGTGTGAGAGCCAGCCAAGTGCAGCCACTTTGCACTTGTGTTGGGAAGAGTAATCACACTGCAGATGTCTGTAAGTCTGAAGAGATGGAATGTGATGGTGCGTTTGTATCCGGTGGGTGTCCCTGTGCAGACCTTCAAGAGCCTTTAGTTAGTTTCCCACAGCAGAACTTTAAATAACTTTTTGGTTTCATCATAACAAGCTCTAAACACCTTGGTTCTCAGGAAAGTAAAAGAGCCTTTGATCTGTATTACCCAAGCTCTGGGGCATGCCCCTGCCTCACAGTCTTGTGGAAGGCTGCTGTCTCCTGCCCCCGTCAGTTACTATACATATATCTTTTACACCTGAGAATTAATTTAGGCTTTCTCTTTCATTCATAGCCCACTGCTGCAGCAAAGAAGCCTGATGCAGACAGTGTTGACATGACCTCTTCAGACTCAACATCCTACAAACTCCTTTCTGCTGAAATCAAAGCAGAACCAGAGAAAAGCTCCGGGACTGTAAGCCATGCAGCAGTGGCTAAAGGGACTCTGAAATCCACTACCTTGTTTCGAGGCAAGAAAAGGCTCTAAGGTTCTGCCCAGTGCTGAGCAGTTCAAGAACAGACCACTCTTCCAGCACTGAAGGGAGGGGATAGGAGGGAACGGCACACAGCGAGCTTTTAGCCATCGGCTCTGATGGGCCCTACCTGTGTTTACACCAGTTTAAAATTGAAGCTAGTTACCTCCAGGCAGCACGGCCTGAGCAGGGCATTGAAGGACAGCCATGGGCGTGCTTGGGGCAGGCTGTTGCTCTCACCAACTCAAGGCGCTCCAGGATTGTTTAAGGGACACGTGCTCTCAGTGCAAGGCCGGGGCTATGCTTGCTCAGTTCTACTCAAATTCTTATATTTAGGCACAATTATTTATAAGGGAAAACAAGAGGCCAAATACAGTGATGGGGGTTCTACATAACTCTATGCACTCTGCACTAGGAGACTGTGTTAGAGGATTACTAATAAAATGGCCACAGGCATTGTGGCAGAAGTGACGCCGTCCCTCATGTGTCCTTGTGATGCTAGTTGCTATAGACTAAGACAGCTTATTTTAAACATAGAAAAGTAGGACATTTTATAATTGCTTGCATCGGCTTGCTACTATATTCCCATCTTATTGATTTAATCAATAAACTGAAATGCCTCATGCATGTCCATTTTATGTTAAGGAGAGGTGACTTTAGCAAGCCCTCGGAGTGCTTCTTAGACAGCTAATGCTGGCCTGTTGTCTCTGGGGAAGGACTGAGACTGGACAGGAAACGTGTCATTAGCTGGTGTGGGAGGGTTTTTTGTCCTCTCAGTTCACAGCTCTGCCACAGCAGGTTAAGTGGGTGAGTTCCAGGTTCACTGAGGGACCCTGACTCAAGAAATAAGGTAGAGGGATAACAGGATGTCTCAGTCCGTAAATGTATTGCCACCAAAACTGATGACCTGATTTTTAACATACTACATGCTAGAAGTTTTCCTTTGAGCCCTTCATTAGTGTGGCATGAATGCCCCCACACACACAATAAATTAATTTTAAAAGCCAATCTGTGGCCTGGCATGGTGATACATGCTTTTAATCCCAGCACTTGGGAGGTAGAAGCAGGTGGATCTCTGAGTTTAAGGCCAGCCTGGTCTACACAGTGAGTTCCAGGATATCCAGAGCTATATAGAGACTGTGTCTCAAACAAACAAAGAACACACACACACACATGCACACACATGCACACGCGCACGCGCGCGAGCGCGCACACACACACACACAAAATAAAAGCCAACAAAATGAGTTGAAAAAGACACCCAGTGTCAACTTTGGGTGTACACATGCACACATGTACAACTGCACCAGCACACATGAGCATATATACACACTCATGACACACACCATGTCACACACAGAACAAAAAGCAGCTTGATTAGGAGTTGACAGCCTCCTCTAGGGCGTCTGCTTTGGGAGTAGTGTTTGAGTCCTCAGGGGGCCCATATTCCACCTCCTAAGCTTGATGTATCCTCAAAGGTTTTGGTGAGGCAGTCTTGAAGGTACAAACTGTCCATCTGTGGAGGACCCTGCCTCAACAGCTCAGGGGAGGGCTGTCTTCCAGGGGAATGCTCTAGGAGGTGGAAGGGGATGTTCCAGAAGCTGCGCCCCTTCACCCTGATGGAAAGAGCAGGGTCTAGGGGTCAGGGGTCGGGGTGTTGGGGCGGGGCTGGGGCCAGGGTGGGGCCGGGGTGGGACCAGGGGGCGGCTCTGAAGGGCCAGCTGTGGGTCTCCCTGTAGGGACAACTGCAGCTTTGATTCTGCCCAGTGTTTACATCTTTTCTCATCACACATCAGACAAGGCTATGTTCTTCTGTCATAACATCATTCTGTCTGCCCTCTAACAATAGAGGATAGCCTATCTCACGTACCTTCCTCTGACTCGGATGGGACATTAAGATAGGATTTATGTCACTCGAAAGAGAATGGCCATATCACTTCAATGTATTTACTCACATGGAAACCATGGAGAATGGACTGTCTCTGATCTTTGTTTCTAACTGATGCTCCTGCGTTGTGTCTGAGCTCCAAGGCTCTTCTGTCTGCATTTACCCCAATGGGTGTGGAAAAGCAGTTTCTTCAAGGCACACCTGCTTTTCATGGCCAGTGGGACACCTCTCAGGTGTCGATCTCTCTGACTCCTCCTTAGCCCCATGGCATAGACAATTGAATTTCGCTGTTACCTGGAGGGACATCCTCTACCTAGGACAGTACAGAACTAGTGTGATCTCCAAGGAGAGCAAAGACTGACCAACACACTCCCACTTGAATGGCAGGTAAGAGACAAAGAATTGCAAACAGAGGAATGCAAGCCTGGAGCTGGGAACCGATGCAGCTGAGAATGGAGAAGAGACCTTAGGAAAGAAAGGAGAGGGGCAAGGAACAAGAGAAAAAGTGTGCAGTCTATGAAATCAGATGCCAGCATGTGGCTGTGTCAAGCCCAGAAACAGATGTCAGGGGTAGGAACACTGCTGAGGGACAGTGTGTTCTTTGGCCAGGTGACATCAGATGAGCCCCCTCAACAGTCTGTTCACAAGCAAAACTCAGACAGGCCAAAGAGACAAAGACCAGGCAAATAGAAGCTGAGAGAAATTGGGGCTTTAAGAGCTGCCCACAAAATGGGCCTCAATTTCTTATTATAAATGTTAGGGAGGGGGAAGTACATTTAAAAAACCACTGTGTGCTTATCATAGAAATACTTTGTTTAAATAATTCTATTTGACTCTAAAATGTAAGTTCCAGATTGGACAGACCAAAGCCAGTCAGTCTTGAAAATGAAGCTTTTTAAATTCCAGTCCTGCTGTTGGAACAGACAATAAAGGCTTTGTTCAAACAGGTATTCCCAGCAGGAAGCCTGGCTTTGAAATTGGCCAGAGAAGTTGTGTCTTATAAAGGCTGCACTTGGCTGGAGGCCAAGAAGCTGTGGCCTCTGGGAAATGACCCTGGGCTAGTGCTGTGGTTTGAATATGAAACATCCCACGAGTGACAAGTGTTTGAACATTTGGTCCTCAGCTGGTGGCGCTGTTTGTTGTAGCACCTTTAAGGGGTTGTGTGGCCTTGCTGGAGGAAGTCACTCAGGGCAGGTCTTGAAGTCTTATAACTTAGTCCCACTTCCTGACTGAAGATGCAATGTGTCCAGCTTGCCTGTACCTTCCCTTGCTGTGGTGGTTTGTAAGCCAGAAGCCAGAATAAACCTTCTCTCCTTTTCTTATCGGTATATTGTCTGAGTAAGGGGGAAAGTTGCCAATAGAGCTGGATGTTCTCTACCTGCCCCTCTAAAATGTTTTCCCTGCTCTGCCATCTCTGCTGACCTTTAGGGACAACAGTGTTGGGCTCCCCTGGCTCCTGCATCACTTGGGATTCTCTCAGTAGAGTTATATAACAGGAGGTCAGCGGGTGATTGGAGAGCCTAACATTGGTACCTCCCCTACCCCTGCCTATGTCCCTCTCATGGGACTGCTGGGCTTTGTGTGTGTTTCTTATGATGGCACCCTCTTACAGGCATGCTTCTGGTGGGTGCCTTCAGGGAAAGGCCAGTGCCATGAGTCAGGAACAGCAGCTTCCTCAGTCCCTTCATAAGCCAGCACTTTATCCAGCATTCCCCTTCCCATTCTGGTGTACCACCTTCTGTGATCCAACACAACCCAGACTCTGCCCTCAGTCACCCCTCAAGGAGTCTTGACCTAGGGTGGTTTGTTCCTGGTTGCCAGGTTCCCACCGAATTACAGGAGAGTGAGAAGCACAAAGCCCAAATGAGTCCTTCCTGAAGACTGATGTATGTCGGGTAGCCACAGGGGCTGGAGGAGGGACACAGGGGTGCTGTTACTGGGGTTGGAGCCAGGCCAGTGAACAGTGACTCTGATGTCTAAAATGGCCTAGATGCCAGCTTCCATATTCATCTGCACACGTATACGTGTAATCACACAAATGTACACACACACACACACACAGAGAGAGAGAGAGAGAGAGAGAGAGAGAGAGAGAGAGAGAGAGAGAGAGAGAGAGAGAGAGAGAGAGAGAGAGAGAGAGAGAGAGACAGAGAGAGAGAGAGAGAGAGAGAGAGAGAGAGATACAGCCCCCATAAATGTGCACTGATGAACTGCAGGGGACTTGCAGTGAGACAGAAGCCTGGGCTGGGCTTCACCACCCTCTTTCTCTGAGCACTAAAATCTCCTTACAAAAGCCTTTTAAACTAAAACACCACTATTCAAAGGCCTCACATAATTCAGCTTTCCTCTTCAGAATCATATTTTTCTGAGCGAGCCAGTTTTGAACTGATTTTGATTTCCGTGCCGTGTATTGTTACCACTTAATTTTCGTTGGTGAGCCAATTTTCTTTGCCTTTGTTCTTCAAAGGAAAGACACATTGAGTGGCTGCCTTGCGTTTGTGTGTGCCTCACTGTGCCAGTCCTCAGCGGTTCCCTAAGTTACCCAGTGCAGCCTTCCAGGGGCACAGGCATGTGGGGCCTCCCACCTTTGCCCGATCGATGGTCAGCCTCACTTTGAACAGCAGTACAAAGCAGGAAGTGGGATACTAAGAAGATGAATAGTACCATTGCCTAGGCACTTTCCCTGGCACCATGCTCCCCAGAGCTGTACCAAACATAAGAGCTAGACCCTGAGGAAAAGGATGACAGCCTCGGAGATCCTCCTCCCCCTAACCCAGCATCAGGCCCTGTGGAAGCAACATAAATGACAGATGAATTTGAAGTTAAATTTAATTGCTAGGAGGCAAGCACAAGGACCTGAGTTCACATCCCCAGTACCCACATGAGAACTGTGCGTGGTACTATTCCTCTGTAAGCCCAGTGTTGGGCAAACAGGAAAGGTGGATCGCCAGAGCTTGCTGGCCAGACAGCTAGCCAGTCAGTGGCCTCTGGGCTCAGTGAGAGATCCTGTCTCAAGCAATAAGGTTTAGAGTGGTAGAAGAAAGATACCTGATGTCAACCCCTGGTGTGAACATGAAGGTGCACACATGTGCACATACACAAGCATGAGCACCCAACACACTACAT